ACAACACGTAACTCTAGAAACACGTAAATAAAAAAATACATATAAATGGAGTTTTTCCTATATGCTGATGATAATGTTTTGTAAGCAAGTTCAAAATATATCTTTGATATTGAAAAAACTCTAAACACCAAACCACAGAAACCTAATTAGGTCGGGTCACTTGATCAAAATGTTTGTGGTTTAGTCTATAACTGTAAAAAATGGGTGTAGAGTTAATGTAATATAACAAAAATAATAAAATGTACTATGTGTGTAATTTGTGCCTAAGAATAATAAAACTTGCATGCTACAACATACATGTCGAGACATAATGGTTTATTTTACAATTTTATTATATTTTATCTTGTTTGTTTGTTGTCATTTTCCCACAATTCTGTGTATATTTAGACAAATATATTAAGCATATTTTGTTTAATGATAACAATTAAATCAAATTATATTTGACACTGGTTGCATTTGGCACAAACTTTGATTGAGACAGAAATGGTGCAATGAGCCTTTATTTTACAACATGCAACAAATCACAACTTGTAGTTTAAACACACTTTTTTAAAAATGTAGAAAAACAACACAGGTCATGTGAGCTCTTTGTGATGTGACTTATAATACTGTGGACATCCTTTCTCCTAAAAACACAATAAAATCACTTCATTTCTCCACGCCAACACCACAAACCTCAAGAGACACCTCGCCTAACGAATGTGGTTCAGTTTCTTTCCTCACTGAAATGAAGCCGGCCCATTAGCTTGCAAATAGCAGGTCAATGGACCGATCTATACAACAACAGAACATTAAGGCACTTTGGAGAAAATCCTAAATAATATAAACGGTCAGGGTGTCTGAGTCCACTGGGCTCATCCTGTTTTAAGGACGATTCTGTTGTTTTAGCTCGTTAGCTACTAGCGCTGATCCAGAACCGTGAATTCATATTTCAGTCAGTCAACAAGTTCGTAAAATTCATTGCGGGAAGAATTTTGAAAATACAAACTCACAGGGAGGTAGGCGATCATTCTCGTCACTGGCTGCGACACAACCTTCAAGGTGTTATCGCAAATCCATTTTATTTGTACAATCATAACAGCAGAAGACACTTTTCAGCCACGTTTTAAGCTCACAAGGTTAAAGGTGGAGGATAGGTTCAGACGTAATGTACAGGGCCGTGCCGAGCTTTTATATTTTAAGAATCTACAACCAAAGGTTTGAAGAAGCAGCATAAGGGGCCGTTCAGATGTAGCGCCATTGTATATGGTTCATATTGGTTTTAATGGATAAGGCATTTTGCTGTCAGAATAAATCTTGTATTTTAACATCTAAAACAACTCTTGAAACTTCCTCCTGCCTCCCGTTCGATGAGTCTTTATCTCTAACTTTGTTGCCGAAACATATTTCTCCGGGTTCCATGAAATATCCATCCTAAACTGTAATATATCGTCTGACGGTCCGGGATCAGTTATTGGCCAGCAGACCGTTTACCAGCCTCCCAGTGGACAAACAGCCTTACATCAGGTCACTTTGCATCAGTGAGAATAGAATCTTTAAGCATCAGAAAATACTTACATGCGGAAATAAATTACGTAAACAGTCTGGTTTTGTCTGGCCTGGAGTCAGAATGGGTCAAAGTTCATGTGTTAAGAATCTTTTTTAAAAGGGGAAAAGAGGATGAGGAGAATAATGTAATGTTAACAGGTAGAGCTCAGAGTTTCATTCATCAGGTTGAAATATGCTTCTGAAAACACAAAGGCCCAAACTGATAGACAGACTCATTCTGGCTCCACACAAAACGTCCAGGCAGCAATATAAAACCCAGCTTTAAAAGGTCCAAAAATAAAGGATGCACCAATAAAAAATATCCAAATTCGATACCAAAACTTGCTACTGGGCAGATTCTGATGGAAAACTCGGTATATCAAAAGTTCAACAATAGAAATACAAACTCTTGAAGCAAATCAAAGCACACTGAGCTCAATTATTGTATCCAGTGATATTAAATAAGTGCTTCAGCTCCTGACATTCTTTACATCAGATTGGATTAGGGCTGCACAATTAATGCAAATATTATCAGAATCACAACATGGCCAAGTGCAAAATCCAAATCGCAGAAGCTGCAATTTTTTTGATGAAAGGTAAAATGTGATGAAGAATACAAATCTTGTTCTCCAAACATCAGAAAACATGATTGTTTGGCACAGAGCCCAATAAATCATCATGAATTTAACAGTTTTTTTTCATTGAAAATGAAAATTGTGACTCAAAAATGATCTTTTCCACGATTGCAATCGTAATAGATTGACTGCAATATGGTTTCTTTTACCATATGGTGCAGCCCTATAGGGGATCATTTAACTGGTCAGCTAAAATGGTATCGACAGTTAAGAAGTTTTATCAGTGCATCTATAATAAAAATAAAGCTTACATGTCAAACTGGTCCAGAGCAAAGAGAAAAAACAGTAAAGTGAAGCAGCGAATACACAGCATATGTGAACATCTAGGACACGAATCTGAAAGTGAAATGCAGCAATGTTTAACTTTGTGGAAAACAGCTTTTACAAGGTGTTGCACTGTAGAGACCCCTATACACTGTGCAAATCTCAGACAGGCGTGTAGATCACACCGAAGAGACACACCCACCAACTTTAAGAGCCAACTGATGATTCATA